ACCGGCGCTGAAGTACCAAAACGCTGACGTTGGTGGTGGACGCTGCCGTAAAGTATGAAAGCAGTTTCTACAGTCTACAAGGATGCAGCTTCATGAAAGTTTAGATACAAGTTAACCAACTCGCAAACAATAACCCAAGAACCAGGAGCCTCAGAAAAAGTATCTATCAACTCTTTTTTTCTGATCAACTCTTCGGAATCAAATCCAGGGTTTGTTCAAAATTTGCTAGCTGAATTTCTGAGCTCCCTAATATCACTTCCCTCTTCTAGGAAACGCCTGAGGCTGAGAACTGGTCCCACGGGTTAGTGGTTACCCCTGGATACAATTATCACATTTGGTCTGGCAAGAAGACGCGTGGTAAGCGCTTCAGCGCCTGTGATGCCGGCATTTGTGGAGGGAGGCACAAGGTACTCGCTTCAAGCGGATGCAATATTCGTATTCACGGAGACAAAATAGCTCCGCTGCAGAGCTTCGGCCAAATCTATCGCTAGGGAAATGTTTCGATCAAAAGCAGGTGAATTCCTGATAGTGGGACTGCTGCGGTATGTTACAGTAGGACCAGCGACCTTGCAAATATCACATGGTTACCATCTGCACGCGCTCGCGATGGTTTTGTTATTGTAAAGTGACTTTTCGCTGCTTTTTTTCAACAGGACAGTCCGTCATACCTCAACAAAACGGCAAAAAGTACACTCTCTGACAAGTGTGCTTTCCAGAAAACATTGTAACCGTCAAATGATCAGAACGTAAGCTAAAGTAACTTGCGATCAGAACCTGTGTAGATTTCTCTGCATTATAACTGCTATGTTACCAGTCTGGTTATGCGAATAAGACGAAGTCTAACGGTCGTAACAATCCAGGCCCTACCAAGTGAAGAGCGCCGTTTGAAACTGAAGCGGACTTAACCTGATCCCATAACGGACTGAGTTTATCGCGAGAGTGTGCTCCATTGCAAGCACACGGTAATTTCCGGACGCGCGACCTCGCACGGTCCTAAAGACCGTCTATGTAAATAGTGCCTTCCTTGTTCTTGCTGAACTCGAAATATTATTACTCGAAATTAAGCTACAAGTAGGGAAACGCTGGCCGCTGAAATTTCGATATCCTCATAAATCAGTACTATGTCACGTTTACTGCAACTTAAAGACGATCTGTACTCTGGATAAGACGGGAGGCCTCAGTGTCAGCGTCATTGATGGAACAACGGTGGGGAAGCGTAAGGCCACAATCCCTGCGCTCTCAATGGTGTGAAAGAACGTCCCTCCCCCCTGTCCTGCCTTTGCTAACATTGTTAGTATTTAGTCTGACGTTTCTAAACAACACACTCATAACCCCGTACTCCAAAATAACTGTATAGTAAGCTACCTTGCGATCATAAGAACGTTCATCACTTTCACTTTTCCGACTATCCCTTGAACTTCTGGAGCGATGTTTGCCACTATCACCATGAGGACTCTCGCTACGGTTTTTCTTTGGTTCGTCTTCTTCTTTTTCATGATCCTTTGTTTCGTGCACATTTTCTTCCTCCTGCAGCACAAACTGACTTTATGGTGAGAAAGAGCTCTCAAGAAAATCATTGTCCAGTCTGTAAACGCTAATTGCTATGTAGGCGAAGATCATAAAAAAAAAACCTCGTCACTGTGTGGATGTTCTCCATGACTGCCATTCTCTTCTAGAATTTTCGAACCAGGTTCGTCGTCATGTTTATCGCTCTCCTTATCGGAATTCCTTTCTTCTTCTTCTTCGTCTCCTTTGCATTCCTCATCTACATTTTCGTCATGCTTGTCGTCGTGCTCTTCTTCTTGTAACTAAATGAAATAGCTGTTGCACAGGTAGTTCATACTTTGTGACTCAAACGAATAAGTCGCGCGATCTGGGAGTCAAGCCAATGCTATCGACCACTAATCGTTGGGCGCCTACAGCTTCTTATTCAATCACACACAGGATAGAAGTTCTTGCGACCGGGTCCAACAATTGAGAGCTGGTGCGGTCACTCTCAGTCCCAGGGTTCTTACCGTGGCGACTGAATCATGAAACCAAGGATTCTATAACGGCGACCATGGGCAGGGAGTCGCGAATAATGGCGCGGCCTTAAAAGCAGTAACCACGCTTGTTCAACATGCAGAAGCCGTTCCTCAAGGCGCGATTCGCGGATCCCTTTTTCGCAACCATTGCTCGATATCAGTGTCCACCCGTATAATATCGTACTCTCTCAATAAACAACTGTTTCTACTATTAGGTTGGCGGGAAACTTCTGTCACTTTTTTCAAATTGGGCTTTCTTTTTATAGAGGCGTGTAAGATCAAAATTGTACAGCAATGTTACTGCGGGGTCCTTGCCTGTTTTTGAGCACCTCATGGATGCCATCGCTTCACAATGCAGGGAGGCGCGATACAAAGTTGGACATCATCTCAATCTTGGCTTGAACTCAGACTTTTCGAGGTTTTCTCGTAATTTCTCGTCCAGTAATGATTGATTACGGGAGGCAACTCGCAGTTAGAAGGAGCAATGTCTGTGCTACACCACTGCAAGGGGAGAGCCATCCAGCTCTATTGCATGAGGAACGGCTAGAACTTTTTTGGAAGTGCGCTGCACTATCAGAAGCATTTGGAGGGGTCGGTGGCGATGGTAGCGGATAACATTCTTGTCCATATTGCAGAAGAAGAAGAAGCAGGAATCAAGCGAGTGGTACTAATAGAAAGACCACTCTTTGATGTATAAGTGCTCACATTACCGTTCACCCCTCTTCAGGTAATGGCAAATATTTTGAGTTCGAAAAAGTGACAGAACTTTCCCGCCAACCTAATACTTTCTTGGCCCAGCTTCTTTTCGCCGTATAATTCCATAATGCTCAGAACGAAGAGTGTCTTATTCAGAGCGTATTCAATGGTTTTTTCAGCTACAGCTCCACTACTGACTGGGTTATTCAACACACTGAAATTCGTCGTTGAACCCCACTACCCACGCATGGCAGCTGCGGGAACTGTCTTTCATGGAGCGAAGCCTGAGCTAAAACTGAGAGAGGCTCAAGTCGTAGTACAGCTTCTGGAGTTACATCTACTACCACAAGGCACGCTAGACGTGTAGAGCCACACTGTCTAGTGCCACCGTATCTCGTGTCTTGAGGAACGTTGGCTAACCCATGAAAAACTGCTAACGATTATCAGACATGAACCTCAACGCTCACTTAAAACGATATAGACATATGAAAATAGAAACATACATCGTCTTCTTCATGGGCGTCCTCTTCATGAGAATCCTCGTGTTCATGTTCAGAAACCTCTTGCCTTTCACTTTCTTCGGCATGGGCCCTCCTTCTCTCTCTATCTCGTTTTTCCTAGAAAAGAAAAAGGAATAGCACGGTTAGGTCATGGAAGCCCACAGCGATAAGAAAAAGGCTGAAGGAGTTTAAGGCTTACCAAATTTTCCCGAGCAATCCTTTCTTGCTCTTCTCTTTCTCTAACAGCTCGCTCTTCTCTGAGTTCCATCATTCTTTTCAGAGAGATCAGTCTTGCCTGAAGAAAGGAATGATAGGCTTGAAGTGATGTACTGGGACATCAGCAAAATGAAACAACTTGACAAAAAAGGAGTGTCGAGAAAATTTTACAGTAGCTCACCTCTTCACGCTTCCAATGCGGCGGGGTTTTATCACGGAACTGAGACGTAAATCGCATTTGACCTCTTCCTTTCACCTTGATTACTACCTTTTCCGGAGCAGAACGCTCATTTCTGCCCTGCAAATATGGCTGTTAAGCTACTGAATTCTGAATTCAACGATTCAAAGATGTTTTACCAGAGGTAATTCTCACCGAGCGCCGTCGTGATCTTGAACGAGACCTTCTCCTGTGAGTAGAACGGGAACGTGACCTTCTTCTATGTGCAGAGCGAGAACGCGACCTTCTCCTACGTGCAGAACGTGAGCGTGATCTCCGTCGGACTGGTGAGCGTGTTCGAGACCTCTTCCTTTTTCTGTCAGTCTAAAAATGACGCAACTCAATAAAGGCTCGATCAAACTGGAACAAAAGGAAGTCCTCATAAAAAAACTAACATCACGTCCTTTGTCTTTTCCGGTATTTCCGCCATTTTCCTAAAGCAAATAAATCCATCTTCCTAAATGTAAAACAAATGAATATTTTTCTTCCCTTCAACAAATACTGGAAGCGCACACATCACTGGGAAGCTTTCACAGACGATAACAACCCAATCAGGAGAAAACCTAGGTCTGTTGACTAGAACAACAAGAAAAAAGTGTGCAGTGCGCTGGATACATAACAGCACAACTTTGCCGATCGAGCTGCACAGCTGCCTACGAGCTCACAAGAAGGTCTTCTTTTCCAATATTTTACACAAGTAACTCAGGGCAGATGGCAGCGTAATAGTAAACTATCTGTACGACCACTATCATTGTTAAAATTTTCGTCACGTGCGTCAGAGAGGCGTGCATACACTGCTAAAGAGGAGAATCCAACGCGTACTGAGAGTACTTGACCCTGTGCTTTGGAAGAGGACCACTCTTAAGTGAAGCTAAGTCACGGTATATATGCTCTTCTGCACACTCTCGCCGAGACAATATGACTCTGTTGCATGGCAACACTACCGTCTCGCCGTGATTGAGCCTCGGTGGAGAGTGGCTCCTGCCGAAGTGTATAGCGCCGAACGCACAAATGAAAAGAACATTCCACCAGGGACTGAATAGGAGTCGATGACCTAGCTCACTAGTAGTGTTGCGGGAAGCTCAGATGGGAAAACACGCATTCTCCGAAATCGCTGATTTAAGCTATCACACGAATGCTGAGATATGGGCAAAAGTCAGATCCCAGGCGTGACTGAAACCCTCGCCTCCCGCTGGGCGGACGAGGGCGCTATCCATTACGCCGGCGAGCGAATCTTATTCTCTCACCTCATGACTTCAAAACAGGTAAAAACCCTTCAGCCTCGCGGTTCACTGCTAGTATCGGCTAAGCGATCCATCAGGTAAAAACTTGCGATGGGTATAAGGCTGGGGCACAAAAAGCGTTGAGCTGGGAGGGTAGAGCGGCTTCGGTGGCTTAATGGATAGCGCACTCGTTCGATCAGCGGGAGATGCGGGTTCGAATGTCGTCTGAGGTCTAACTCAGCACTCGTGTGAGCGAGCACCGTGGGAACACCAGTCATTAAACTGAAACAGCTGATTCAAGCGTTGAATTCGACAGAACATAGCTTGGATCAACGAACCGGTTACCCCCTGTACCGATCAGGCAGGAACAATC